AGCTGCTCCAGCCCAGGCTGGGTTCAGGGCTGATGTGGGTTCAGGGCTGATGTGGGTTCAGGGCTGATGTGGAAGGTCCCACTGTTGAGGATCAGGCTGATGGAGCAGAACTTTTGCCAGGCTCTTGCCACTGTCTGGTTCCTTGGCCAGAGGGGGTTGTTTTGCCTTGGGCTGTACCAGAATCAGTGCTGGAGTCAGAGCCACGTGGGTCCTTCACCCAGCCCGTCACACACTTCATTTTCCTCCTAACTGTAAATACTAAACCAGGGCTATTTGTATCTTTGACATTAATTGACTTCTCAAATTAATAACTCTTCTGTGTAACCAGCAACACAATTATTGCTTTGTTGTGCTGATATCCAGCTGGAAGGAATCGTTCCTACCAGGAAACTCGATTGTACTAATTAAGCTGTACGAGCCTAACAGGAGGTGGGTCACGAGGACCTGTCCCTGGAGGTGCCTCCTCTCTTATTATCCATGGATGCTGCTGCAAAGCCAGAATGGATGGTGAGCCTGTGCACACTAAGGGCTTCCAGGCAGGAGGGATGAGCTGCTGCTGGTGGTGCTGGGATGGGGATGTACCTGGTTGCACAATGGTCTCTTCTCCCAAAGTGTGCCGACAACCTGCCTTGCTTTCCATACCCATATTTTGTCTACTTAGACCAAAAACCTTTGTAAGTAGGGTGTTTTCCAACGTATCAGCCCTCACACACATTCCCAAGGGCCCATGGCAGTGACTGCTCGGTGCAGAGCCATCTGCTCACCTGCAGTGACGACGGAATGTGACACGGAGAGCAGGGGAGGGCTGAGCTCGGAGACCCGCTCACCAAGCCTGGATGAGTAATCATGGAATCACAGAATGCCCTGAGTTGGAAGGGACTCACGAGGATCATCCAGCTCTGCACAGACACCCCAGCAATCCCACCCTGTGCCCCAGAGGATCATCCAAACCCTCCTGGAGCTCTGGCAGCCTTGGGGCTGTGCCCACTGCCCTGGGGAGCCTGGGCAGTGCCCAACCAGCCTCTGGGGGAAGAACCTTTGCCTGAGATCCAACCTGAGCCTGCCCTGACACAGCTCCAGCTGTTCCCTTGGGTCCTGTCACTGCTTACAGAAAAAAGAGGAGGACCAAGGGAGGTTTGGAGCTGGGTCAGCACAGGGGGTGCAGGCAGGGATCCCCCAGACCTCCCACAGCTGCAAGCGACTCATTTTCTCCTCCCGCAGTTCTCAACCACTCATGACCTGCTCTGAGCTCGGTGTGGCCACTGCAGGGGCACTGCAGACCCTGCCAGCAGTGCTGATCCCACCCACTCGAGGAGAACATCCCACTCAAGGAGAGCCTGTCCCGCATGGAACCCCACACACCTCCAGCCCAGCCACTCTGCTCTGGCCCTTCTGAGCTCAGCTCCACTCTGCTGGGGATGGAGAGGCTCCCTGGGGATGGAGAGGCTCCCTGGGGATGGAGAGGCTCCCCGGGGATGGAGAGGCTCCCTGGGGATGGAGAGGCTCACGGTGGTCGCTTAAGGGTTACACGGAGACGGGGAGGGAGCTGCATTGTTCGAGCCATAAAAGAGCGTTCGGAAAAAAAAAGGCAGGAATTTTTCCATAATAGACTTTTCACTCGGCGCTCGTTATGTCCCCAAACAGATGGCTCCGCCAGCTCGGTGCCAGGCCTCTTAATCCACTCCAAACCCGATGAATCCCTGGCTGAGGAGTTGCTGAATGCAGCAGAACGGTGGCGAGCGGAGCCTCTCGACGTGTAACAACATCATCAAGGCATCAGGGAGCCGCCGGAGGGGGGATGCTGGGACAAGGACCGAGCCACAGCAGGGCTCTGCTGCTCTGCAGGGAGCAGGGGCTGGCTCCAGCCACTGCATCCCCCAAGCAGAGGCTGTGGGGATGAGCCACAGCGAGCACCACGCACTGGGAAACACGGGGGGCAGTGGAACGGCCACCAGGAATCACAACCGGAGGTGCTGAGCGCTCTCAGTCACCTGGAGCGAAGCTTTGGAGGGGGGAAGGTGAGGTGCTCCCAGCAGAGGGCTGGAGTGAGGTGTGTGGTGGGTGAGAGGGGGTCACCTTACCTGTACTGGGTGACGGCGGGGTTGGCCTTGGCCGAGCAGTGGAACTTCACAGTGTTGTCCTCGAGCACCGGCTGCGGCTCCACGGACAAGTTCACCAGGGGTGGGTCTGCAAAGAGAGGGACAAGCCCTTGAGAGACCCAAAGACACGGTACAGCATCCCCCTGCCTGCTGCCTGCCAGGCTCTCAGTCTGGAAAGCAAAATTTGGCTGTAAGAAAAGCTTGTCAGGAGCGGTGAGACTCCTTGATGCTGTGATATCACAGGATCCCGGAATGGCTTGGGTTGGGAGGGACCTTAAAGCTCCTCCCATTCCACCCCCTGCCATGGGCAGGGACACCTCCCACTAGCCCAGGTTGCTCTAAGCCCCATCCAGCCTGGCCTTGGACACTCCCAGGGATGGGGCAGCCACAGCTTCTCTGGGCAACCTGTGCCAGGGCCTCCCCACCCTCCCAGAGAACAATTCCTTCCCAATATCCCATCTAACCCTGCCCTCTGGCAGTGGGAAGCCATTTTTCAGTTGAAAGCCATCTAATGGTTGTCACACAGGCTGATGCCATGAATGCTCTTCTCTTGGAGGATTTCAGTGAATAAGGCAGGAAGAGGAGCCACAGATGCCACTGGATGTAACAGTTCACTTCAAAAGTGTGACTGCTGGCTCTGATTCCCATTTAAGGACATAAACTCGCCTGCTTTGAGATGCTCCCATTTAATATCTCGCTGTGTAATGATGATCTTTTGTCTTTCCTCTAAGCTGAAAGTGGCATTTCTGCTCTTTCATCAGCTTAATCATCTCTGCCAAGGCCTTACTCGTGTCACAGGCCACTCCAGTCTCCCAACTGCTGCTCAGTTTCTCTCCTTTTCACATGAAAAGCATCAAAATGCTTCAGCAGCAAATAAAATTCAGGAAAGAGCCGATGAAAGCAAGATAGAAACGGGTGCAATGTTAAGATGGGAATAAGAATATCCAGACCTGTTTTAATTTTTCATGATTTCTGGGGGTGAGGTGGTGTCAGACCTCCAGCTTTAAGTTTTAAACATGGGATCTCCTTTGAGGGGAAAAAGCAGAAAGAAATGGCCTTGTTGAGGGTTTTTTGGGTGCCTGAAGAACCAGTTGTCCCATGGCAGAGTGTGTTGGGGCTCATAGACCAAGTGAGGGGCTCTGCTGCCCTCGAGGTGGGATGATGCACATATGCAAAAATATATCCTAAAATAGGCCATGTTATGTGTTTGCCTCTACCTGCTGCCTCTCTCCACTTCCTAAATATCCCAGCAAAATCCTTCCCTGCTGGAAAATGGGGAAAGGCTGCAGCTGGCAGGGCAGGGGGGCAGAGAAGCTGGTTAGTACCCAGTGGCCCAGGGGGTGGTTGGGCTCCCAGAGCTGGGAGCAGGGTCAGTGCCACAGGGCCAGGGCTCGATTTCATAGAATCACAGAATCAGGGAATCAGCTGGGTTGGAAAAGACCTCTGAGATCATCAAGTCCAACCCCTGATCCAACCCCTCCGTGGTTCCCAGCCCATGGCACTGATGCCACATCCAGTCTCACCTTCAACACCTCCAGGAATGGTGACTCCACCCCTTCCCTGCCCAGCCCATTCCAATGGCTGATCCCTCTGTCTGGAAAGAATTTCTTCCTAATATCCAACCTAAACCTCCCCTGGCACAGCTGAAGACCCAGCCCTCTTGTCCTGCTGCTGGTTCCTGGGAGAAGAGCCCGACCCCCACCTGGCTCCCCCCTCCTGTCAGGGAGTTGCAGAGAGTCAGGAGGTCTCCCCTGAGCCTCCTCTTCTCCAGGCTGAGCCCCCCCAGCTCCCTCAGCCTCTCCTCACAGCACTTGTGCTCCAGTCCCTTCCCCAGCTCTGTTCCCTTCCCTGGACCTGCTCCAGCCCCTCCATGTCCTTCCTGAGCTGAGGGCCCAGAACTGGACACAGCACTCCAGGGGTGGCCTCACCAGCGCTCAGTCCAGGCCAACAATCCCTTCCCTGCTCCTGCTGCCACACTCTTCCTGAGCCAGGCCAGGATCCATTGGCCCTCTTGGCTACTTGCTGGGACACTGTGAAGCCATGGCTGTAACCAAGCCCAGGAAGCGTTGCTGTGTTTAAATAGGGATGAAAGTTTCCCTGCTGGCTTCTCCCTCTGGCAGCTTCCTCCAGCATTCCCCAGTCAAGGTCCTGCCGGAGTGACCTTCCTCTGACTGGGCATCCTGGGGCATCAGCATCCTCAGCAGCCCTGTGAGGTGTGGGATGGGTTGGGACCATCCTCGCAGCGAGGTCACCAGAAGGGGAGTCCTGGAGGTGGCCTCGGCAGTGCCGTCGGCTGGGCGGGAGGGGAGTGGGAAAGGCGGCGTTCCAGCAGCGTTCCAGCAGCATTCCAGCAGCATTCCAGCGCCTCCTCCTCCGCCCCGTGGTATTTACCCAGCCGGAGCCCGACTTTGTTGCGAGCAAAGCCACCTGCCTTCCTGATGGGAAATTATGACGGGGAAATTATAGGTATTTTCAATTTACCCTAATTTCATTTTAAAATGTGCAATTCAAATGACAATAAAGATGGGCGCAGTTGGGAATATAAATGAGCTTCCCTCGCATTGCAGCCCAGAGATGTATAGCGGGCTCCTAATTCATTCCCAGGCATCCTGACACTTCCCTATTGTTAGACAACAACAGCTAATCACCTTCCTTTGTTAAATATGAATCACACTTCTCTTTAGTAGCTTCCCCATTGTTTGATGGGTTAGGAGCTGTGCCTACGATTTACCGAGAAGCCTCTTTGTATTGAAATGAGCCCGGCTCCCTCTTGCACTCAAAATAATAATAATGAAAAAGATTAAAAAGACAAAAAAAAGGGGGGGAAAAAAAAGAGCAAAGGAAATGAATTAAAGTCTTTGATCTCGCCTTTCAAGAACGGGATCGGGCTTTCGAACGTCGCGGGTGCCGCGGACAGCGCGGGTTTGTGTGTGCCAGCGTGTTTCGGGGCATTTTAAAGGGAAAAAAGACACAAATTGTAACTCATCAGGATGTAATTCCACTCGGTTACAATTATAATTCCTGCCCGGCTTCTTGTTATTAATATGAATGATGGGATCAGACGGAGCCAGCCCACGGGCGGCGGGAGGAGCGGCTGCGAGCGCTCGCACGCCCGGGGATGGCATCGCCCCGGGACCCGCCCCTCAGCCCGGGGGCACCTTGGCACACCCCTCATCTCCCGTGGTTTTATCTCAGCACCTCGGGAGGGGCCACGGGCTGCAGGCACCCTCCTGGCTCTTGTACTGCCAGGTGCAAATCCCTCTCCGTGCTCCTCTCCCCTGTGGGCAAAGCCCTTCCAAACCTCTTCTCTAAGGCAAAGATGCCTCTTCAGCCCTGGGCTTTCCACTCCCCCGTGGCAAGCACAAAAGGGAATCAGATACTCCAAAGCTCCAAGGATAAACGCAGCGGGAGACCCTCCAGCACAGCCATGTGGCCCTCATCACCCTCCACTTCCCTTCTCCTCCTCCCACCTCCTGCAAAACCACACAGATGCAGCCAAATCCCTTCTTGCCATGACAGAAAAAGGTGTAAAAATGAGCGAGTGCACATGTGTGTGCCGAGGCTTGGAGCAAATGGCTTTGGATAAGCAATAACCCCGCTCCTCCCCAGCCCGGCACGCCGGGTGTGCGTTTCCACGGAGCCACTGGGCTCCTGCAGTATAAATAGTTTATGGCATATCAAACTATTAAACATGATTTTAATCCCACTTGTGATGTTCGGTGCATAACTCACAGGAGGCTGACTTTGATGTGGCTGGTGGAACGGAAATCACATTGAACAGATGTTCCAGCTGGAGCCGCTTAGTGTTTCCATTACAGACCCCGCGCTGGGGTTTTTTTTCCAGTTCTTTCCCCCCACCCTCCCTTTATTTTTATACTTGGAAGGGGAGGGGTTTATGACTCAGCTATTTCATTGCTGCTAAGATGGTCAGGCATGAGATTGATGGGAGCCCAACTTTGACTTTGCACCAGCTGAAAGAGGATAATTCCTCCCACCACGTTCACAGCCTCCGTAAGAATAACCCCCACCCTGGCGTTTTTCTGCTGCCTGTGAGAGTTTCTGATGTTCCTTTGAGTTGCAAATGAAATAAAGCAGGAGGAGTGATTTACCAGGCTGCTGCTTCCTGGGAAGGATTATTTTTGGTTCCCTGGGATTATTTTGCAAGGCCATCTCTTTCGAACTGTGCAGCTGGGTAACGTTTCCTGTGGTGTGAGTTCAACCTACCAGTGGAGGTGGAGAGTGCAGGGTCCAGGGGGATGAAGCAGGTTGTGCCAGGCTGGGAAGAGCTCCCTAGGCAACAACTGCAGCCTGCTTTTCCTTATTCTTGCAGAAACCACTTCTTTTCCCCCCAGGGTGCTGCTTCTCTGCTAGATGTTGGAAGAAGACCCGTGGGCAGGACCCCCTCTTGTTGCCAGGGTGGTGCAGAGGAGTTCACAGTCCACCCTGCCTTCCCAGGACAATTCCCCAGGAAAAAATGAGTGGCCCAGATAATTTTTTTGCTTCAGAAAAGCACCTTTAGCTCTTTGCAAAGTCAATGCAGTTGGTTGTCTACCAAGTTGGGAGTGAAACCTAAGGGACTAAAGCTGGGTTAGTAGCTGCACTTAATTATTTTAGAGGTCTTTTCCAGCCTTAATGATTCCATGATACTATGACTAGATGCAGCTAGAGCTGGCTCTTGCACCAGGGTCAAAATCCATCCCACCTCAGCCTGGTTAATCCATCTTGGTACTTTTCTCTCTCTCCATCACCCATCCAGCTTTGGGAGATTGATATCCTCATTAGCCCTCATTAGGAACAACATACTTTTATTAGCTGGGTAGGATATTATTGTTGTTACATTCACAGCATGGAGCATTTAATGGCTCAGAGTGGAAATTGGTGTTCTTTATTGGGTCTCTCTCTTTCCCAAGCAGATTCCACGGGGCTCAGGGATTCAGCTCACGTCCCCTGCCCGCACTGTACCCAGTGTAATGATGTCTCCAGCTCTGTGTTGTTTGTGTGAGTGTGAGTGTGTCTCCAGCCATTGTAACTGTTTGCTGGCTGTGAAATAACCCAGGCTATTATCTCATTTTATCTGCCCAGTTCTGTCAGGACATGCAGCCAGCAACCCAAGAGCCCGGTAATCTTCCGGCAGCCAAAGCTGCAAGTCTTAAATGGTGAATTTTCTGCTGTGCTTGAGTTTGTTCAGCCAGTTTTAATTGGACTCTGGAAAGCAGCTGGCATGTTAATATTGAACACCCTGCTCTTGCAAATTGTGGGTAAATACAGCTGCAGGAACTGGGTGTGCAAATGGAGCCCGTCTGGAGGGGGTCAGGGTGAGCCTGAGAGCAACAGCTACTGCAGAGGAGGAGGGAAGAGGCCTGTGAAATGTGAATTTTGGAGGAAAGAAGATTTTGCTCTGTGGATTTAAAGTAAAGGGTGAAGGATATGGCTCTTCAGACACAGCTGTCCCCATGAGGTGGTGACTGGTGCTGCCTGTGTGTCACGGGGGGGACACTTCCCCCGATCAGGAGTCTCACACGCCATCCCAGCAGAGAATGATACAAAAACCCTACCAGTGAACTGCTTGTAAGGCTGGAAACACGTGATTTTGCACCAGAGATTTTACTGAGCCTTATCTCCACTGCTGGCTGTGCCCAGAGGTGCTGTTTGCTCATCCAGAACCCTTTGGGATCCATCTCTGCTCCAAAGATCCCCGGGGGCACAGTGGGGCCACCAGAGCAGGGCAGCTGGTGCTGCTTGTGCTCAAAACCAGGGACACAAACACAAATGTTGGGAAGCAGGATGTCCCTGTGGTAGGGGTGTTCCTGAGCCCCAGGGAGCCCAGGACATGAGATCTTCTGGCCGTGACTTACAACGTGCCAGTAAATCCCAGTAAAAGGAAACCCCCAATCCCAGCATCCTGCTCCTGCCTGAGGTCAGAGCTGTGTGGACAGCCCCAGGCATGGAGAGGGCTGGCAGGCTGGGGTGTCCCAGTGCCCAGAGGTAGCTCAGCTGGCTGTGAACTCACGCTGGATGTCGATGGTGACCGAGGTCTCCTTCCCGCTGGGAATGGCTTTGTTGGTGGCGCGGCACACGATGCTCTCCCCGTTCTCGATGTCAGAGGGGGCGATGAAAAGGGTGCTCATGATGCTCTCCCTCTTGCCATCACGGAGAAGTGTCTGTAAGGGGGAAAAAGGGATCAGGAAAGGCAGTTTCCTACCGGAGAGGGCCCCCTTTCCCATTCCAGGCTCCGCAGGCACAGTACGAGCTTCTCAGCCAAGCAGGTCCCTGCAATAACAATTCCTCTGGCTGGGATTGCCAAAAGCCTTGGGGGAATAACAAAGACAAATTTCACTGCTCTTCCCTGGGAATTGGGCTCTTAACTCCCATCTGTTTCCCTCCAGCCCTGCTGTGCCTAGACCTGGGGAGCACAGCTCCAAGTGAGATACATCACCCACCATCCCAGGAAAGAGGGAGCCAGAGGCAAATGGAGTGTTGACCCTGCTGTCACCTCCTGCAGGTGAGTGCACAAAGCTACCTGGGCTCTTCCCACAGGAATGAGTGGTGCCAGCAGCACGGACTGACCCCAGCCATGGCTGCTGTGCTGTGGTCTGAACCAGCCTGTGGTAAATCATCCCCACTTGGGCTGGTGATCACTGAGGGCACCTGTGGATGCCAGAGAGACAAACTCCCAAGCCTGGCACAGCAGGGGTTAACCTGGTCTGCCTGCTCAGCCTTGGCACTGTGTCTCTTCCCTGGATTCATCTGCCTTTGACTTCAGCCCTGGTGCCCTGCCATGCATCTATCAGGAGCCCAGGAGCTTGGGAGCCCTCCCTTCCCAACCCCTAATCCTCCTGCAAGTTCTTACAGTTCTTACAGACTGTGGTCACGTCACCCCATAGCCCTGCCTTTGATAAATCAAACCCCTGCAGCCCTCGCAGGCTCTCAAGATGTTGTGTGGTTTTCAGTCTTTTAATCATTCCCTGACCTCTGGCCTCTCTCTGGTTTATCAACACTCTGGATTTCGGACCCTGCCAGGCATTTTTTCCCTCTAAGTCTGTACCTTTGAAGTTTGCTGCTCGCAATGTAAGACAAGGGGTTTATTGAGTGATAAACTTGTGTCAGCAGACGTGTGGATGTGGCACTTGGGGACGTGGGTTCCTGGTGGCCTTGGCAGTGCTGAGCTGATGGTTGGACTGGATGGGCTCTGAGGGGTTTTCCGACCTAAATGATTCTGTGATTCCCGGCTAATCCTTTCCCTGGGCTCACTGTGGCACAGCCTGCATGCACACAGGTCTGTGCCTCCTGGCACGGGAGACAAGGAACCATGATGAGCAATTGTCACCACAGTCAGCCCAGAATCACAGAGTCATTAGGGCTGGAAAAGCCTTCTGAGATCACTGAGTCCAACCCTTAACCCAGCACTGACAGGTCCCTCACTAAACCATCCCCCCCTCCACCACAGCCACAGGTTTTTTGAACACTTCCAGGGATGAGGATTCCACCACCCCCCTGGGCAGCCCGTTCCAATGTCTGGTCACCTTTTCAGTGAAGAAATTTTCCTCAATATGCAATCTAAACCTCCACTGGCATAACTTGAGACCATTTCCCCTTGTCCTGTCCCTTGTTCCCTGGGAGCAGAGCCTGACTCTCCCCTGGCTCCCCCCTCCTGTCAGGGGGTTGCAGAGCCAGAAGGTCCCCCCTGAGCCTCCTTTTCTCCAGGCTGAGCCCCCCCAGCTCCCTCAGCAGCTCCTGGTGCTCCAGTTCCTTCCCCTCCTGGTTCTCCAGCCCCTTGTTGTCCATCTCTGGACACACAAATGCAGGATGTGCCCTGTCCTTGCTCTGCTGTCACCCTGTGTGCCCCTCCCTTCTGGAACAGCCCCACTGCTGTGCTGGGGATGGGGTGAACCCCAATTCTGTGCAGAAATTCTCCCCCTATCTGGGTTTAGCCTCAAAATCCTGCAGGATCCTATAACATTCCCTGTCTGCTTCAACAGGGATCAGGGGGGTTTCAGTCAGCTCTGGCTGTTCTGTGCTGCCAGGCTGGAATTGCAGGGGGCTGCAAATGGATCAGTTGGTGGACTGGAAATTCAGGATAACAAAGAAGTTCTCCCTCAGCACAAATGGTTCCAGGCAAACAGGAACCTGAACAGGGTTTCTTTATGGTTGGCTGGAATATCTGGATCAAAGGAGAGCTGGGTTAGGTTTTGGGTTTTTTGAAAAAGCAGAAAGAGGAAAATCTGGGAATTATTTTAAAGGGAGCTTAGAAAGGGAAAAGTTTCTCAGACCCCAAAAATCAAAACTTCCCATTCAAAAAACACCTAAACTTGGCTGTAAGTTTTTCTGAAGGCTGATTTTCTTTTTTAATGTGGAAGGGCCTCATGGAAACCTCCAGCAAGTCAGGGGAAAACAAAGGTTCAGCCTCAGAAAGGGAGGTTTTCCTGACTCCAGGAGGAGTGGAAGATGCTCCCCTGTGCAGAACAGGGCTCCCCTCCCAGCCCATCCCTGCTAGCTGCTTAAAATGCCATGGAAATGTCTGTGCTGTGTGTGAGGTGGAGCTGCAGCCTGGAAAGCTCTGCTTTGGAAGGTTTTTTTTTTTTGTTGGAAATACTTTAAAGGAGGGACATTCCTCCTTCCCTGCTCCCCATTGCCTGTGGCTCTGAAAGGGAAAGGGCTCAAAAGTTGTCTGCCCGGGGCCTGTCAGTCTGCAGGACTGTCAGTGGAGGGGAAAGGAATGAGCTACAAACAACTGCATGTCAACGGCCTGGATTTTAATTAATTCCACTTGATTTGAGAGAGGGAGAGGTCGGATCTCTCTGGCTTTAATTAGTGCTGCCTCTCTCCCCGCACGCAGGGAGGTGGGGCAGTTCCCCCTCTGCTCCTCCATGGGCTGCAGGGAAGTGGCTCAGCCTCAGCCGAGGTGCTGAGGAGGAGGAGGAGGAGGCAAGGAGGGTGTTCTGGCTCCTCTGCTTTCCCAAGGAGATCGGGATGTGCCGGAATGGGGCTGGGTGGAGGCTTCACAGCGGCGGCAGGGGGTGAAATGTTTATTAAAGATCTCCGGGAGGTTGAGGAATGGCTCTGGCTGCCGCCTTTGAAGTTTGCTTGCATTACAAATGGCTGCAAACTGACCCATTTTAGGTCTCGGATTTTGCTCTTTAGAAATTTTCATTAGAAATGTCAAGTGTTCCCGAGTCTCTCGCGCTCACCAGACATCAGGCGCCCGTAAACAGGAGAACATGTGGGGGCCCAGCTGAGTGTGCTGCTGATGCTCTTTGATGACTTCCTTTATGACCCAATAAAGCCTTTCTGTCTAAATTAAAAAATGCCAACAGCCCTGACAATTTTTCATGGAAAACTGCAGTGGGAGGAAGGGACATATGTCACTGCAACCACCTTTGGAGCTGGGTCAGGGGTTGTGGATGAAGCTTTAACATCACACCCAGGGAGGGTGGCAGGGGGAGGACTGGCCATGCCAGGGGATGACAAGGTATAAAAAAAGCCAAATTCAGAGCAGAGCTCACTTTGGTGACAGTTTGTGATTTCTCACGTGCATCCTCCTGACTGTTCTCCTCCCAGCCTCCCATGGGGAAGGATGAGGGCTGAGATCTGAGCTCTGCAGAGCTGAGGGTGCTGCCCCAGATATTTTGGGGTTGTGTTGAAGCAGTGCCAGGCCCGGTACCCCTTCTGGAGCCAGGGCAGAGCACAGCCCGTGTCCCCAGCCCCATCCTGCCTCACCTTGGAGTAGGTGGCTCCATTGATGACTTCTCCCCTCCTCATCCAGATGATGGAGGCTGCTGGTTTGGCATTGTCAGCGTGGCAGGTCAGGTTCAGGGGGTCTCCTGCTCTCAGGCTGATGATGGGCCCCCCCATAATGACAGGATCATCTGGAGGAACTGCAGAGAAAGAGCCCAGAGGAGACAATGTCATTTGAAGCACGAAACCAACCTCTCTGGAGTCACCTGTGGGGTCTGCGCTGCCAGGACTGGCCTGTGACCTCTCAGACCTCTGCAGATGGTTTGGATGTGGCTGTGGCAGCATCCAACCCCCTCTCTTCACATCACAGCCACTTGTCTTTTGCTGCTCATGTGAAAGCTGTGCCCCAGATTTGAACTACAGCAGCAGGAACTGGTGAGGTTTCGAGGGGACACGGGTCAGGTGCCTGGGAGCTTTGCAGGAGTGTGAGGGATCAGGTCTGTGGTAGATAAATCCACCAAGAGCTACTAAATCCTCAAAGCCCTGGCTGTCCCTGAGCTGCAAGCTGGGGGAGGATGGTGAGCACTTGAAAGCAGCATCCCTGCTTGAACTAAATATCCCTGCTTGCTGTTCCTGCTCTTGTGCTCCTCCCAGGGATCTCTGGCTGCTGCTGGACGCAGGATACGGTGCTTGGAGGGGAGGAGGTGTGACCCCTGTTCCTCTGGCTGGAAAGGGGGAGGAAGGTGAGGGTGTTTTGAGGGAGAAGGGAAAGAAAAGCTGGATTTGGATTGTTACCTATAGCGCTCAGGGGAATAACTTGTTCTGGGCATCAGGAGTGTGATCTCCAGACTGGTGCCTTTGAAGAGGGCTCCCCAGCAGCCCTTGGTCACGGAGGGATGGAGGAACCCCCGAGCGCTCCCTGCTCTGCTTTGATTTCCCCGTCACTCCTGCTCCTGGTCTGTGCTGCTCTCACACACAGGGGGCTGTGGGACCCCTCCCTCTGACACGGGGAGGCTCCTCAGCACCTCCCTCTGTGAAAGCAGGTCTTGCCAGGGGTGTCACAGAGACATTCTCAGCCTTCTCTGGAAGCACTGACAGCCCGTGTGGGGCTGCAGGTACAGGACGGGGCTTTGTCCCCCCTGGGCATCTTCACTGTGCTGGGAAGCATTTCGTGCCAGAGACAGGGGGAGGTGGAAACAGGGAAGCAGATGAGGGGCACTTGAGCATGGTCTCCTCTTTTGGGACTAGCCTGGCATGTCTAAGGATCCCCAGCATGGTAAGAGATGGGAAATCCAGATGGAGAGAGGGACCGGGCTTTAATCCTGCCAAGAAGACCTTTCATCTCTACCACCCTGAGGGGTCTGCTCCAGCCAGGACCTGCTCTGGGGATGGAGAGCTCTGCACAGCTGTCAGTCCAGCTCTTCATGGAATCACAGAATTATCTAGCGTGGAAAAGATCTCTAAGACCATTGAGTCCAAAGTTAACCCAGCACTGCCAAGCCCACCACTAATCCATATCTCCAGGTGCCACATCTACATGGCTTTTAAACCCCTCCAGGGATGGGTGGGAACTCCAGCCTGTTCCAAGCTGTGCTCTGCAGAAGTGAACCATGTGGTCTTACTGACCATCAGTGGGTGTTTCATCAGCAGATAAAAAGTTCCTGCCTTAATAAGACAAATGAACTTTTACTTCTGCTCTGTGACACCCAAGTTCAACCCTCACTCCCTGGCTCTGTCACAGCATTCCCAGCCTCACATATGCAATGCACTATTCCAAGGAAACAGCAGGGAACCTCCTGGCCCACCTGTTGCCCAAAGCTGCTGTGAACCCCCACGCTGAGAGCCCTTCAGGTCCAAATCACTACCCAAAGGTATTTAGCTCTTCCCATCCACGTCCTTTGGGAAATCAAAGGCTGGTCTTGCTACAGATCCATGCAGGGCCTGTTTGGGAGCTCCTGGAGCCCCCGAGGGATTGGGAAGCCCTGAGGAATGTAAGAGACACAGTGGAAAGCCATCCCTGCTTCAGCCCCTCTTGCCCAGGCAGAACAGCTCGTGCTAGTAAAGGATTTAGGAAGAAATGTCTCAGAAGCGGGTGGCAAACCCTCCTACCTCCAGCATCCTTCCAGAGGGGATGCAGCAGGGGAAATGTGCCCATTTTCCACCAAAGGGGAGCTGGTTTTGTTCCAAGTTGGTGCTGCTCCCCCTTCCCAAGCTGAGCCACACAACATCCGTACCACAGTCGGCCAAACCCTCCTCAAAATCCCCGAGTCTGTCTCTGCTCCCGAACTGCCCCTGCCTTGTAGCTGGACAAGAAACACTTAAAAACTCCTCTCTGGCTCCTCCAGGGTGTGGGAGATGGGGAGGGATCACGTTCCCTGAGGATGCCCCAGCCCAGGACTGGCGGGCAGGGCACACCCCGCTGGGCACACACACACACACACACACAGAGCCAAGAGCTGCCAGTAATGGGATTTTTCAGCTCAGTGGGTGGAACTCAAGGACTGGGGAAAAAAAAAAATGCTTTTCTACATGGATCCAAAATGTACATTTTTTTTTTTCTCAGGCTACGAGAGTGGAAAAAGGAGTGAAAATCTGTGGTTTGGGTTGGTTGAAACGTCTGTCAACGAAATACGAAAATGGGAACGATTCTGCTCCGTTCTGGTGTTTTAACTATTAAGGAAGGATTCATTTTAATTTCTTTTTTTAAAACACCCTTTCATTGGATGAGTTTGTACTGTTGAAAAACAAGTCTGATATTTTTCAATAGTTCTTTTCCCCTCAGTGAAGCCATTAATTGAATTTGACCTCGGCTTGTAAAGTACTGAAAATTCATCTTGTGGAGCAGGGAAAAAAACAACCCACAGGCCCTTCTCTGAAGAACTGGAATTTATGAAGGAACTTTTATGGTGGGATGTTTGATATTCCTGACTTTTTTTCTGGTGTTCTTGCAGCAACATCACCCCTGCAACACAGTCCACCTGTCCCTTAGCTGCCCATGAGGGGATATCATGGGATAGGGGACAACACCACGCAGACAAACATGGAACCACTTGTCTGCCCAGTGACAAAAATCCTTGTTTTTTACTGTTTTGTTCCTGTTTCACTCTGCTGGAGCAGCAGCCAGATTTGGGGAGCTGTTTATGGCAATGAGGAGAGGAGGGGTCCTGGTTATGTCTTCCCAAGTAAGTGGTTGTGAGTCCCAGTTCTCCACGTAGCCCTGAATTATTGATGTCTCCAGGCTCCCAGAGAGGGGATCTGGCTGGGGAGGAGGGTCTGATGAAGAGGAATCAGTGATGTCTCTCTAACTCCTGCAAAATGAAGGATGGATGTATTCCTTCCTTCCCCATTTCAACTCCAGCCTGGGAAAGGAGCAGGAGGAGGAGAAGAAGGAGGAGGAGGAGGAGGAGGAGGAGGAGGAAGAGGAGGAGGAGGAAGAGAAGAATGGAAGATAAAAAGGGGAGAAGAAGAAAGAAGCTGGTAGCACAGAGCCATGATCCATTATTCATCCACTGTGCTCCCAGGATTGGTTGTTATTATAAGGCACCACTACAGAATCCGGTCTCCTAATTTTTAATCACGTAGCTCTGGAAGCACTAGCCTTCCTGATTAAACCAGGGATATAAATAGGAAGACTTGTTTGGGGTTGCAAGGGGGGTTATTCCTGACAGCCATGCAAATGGAGTTAACCCACACATGGCTGGAAAGCTTAAAATGAAGGAGAAGGGACCCAGGATGGCTCAAGCCCACAAGAACAGGAACAGAGAACTGGATGGAAACGGCCCTGAGTTGCACCAGGGAAGGTTTAGATTGGATGTCAGGAAAAATTTCTTCACTGCAAAGATGGTCAAGCATTGGAATGGGCTGCCCAGGGCAGTGGTGGAGTCCCCATGCCTGGAGGGGTTCAAAAGCTGTGTGGATGTGGCACTTGGGGAACACGGCAGTGCTGGGTTAATGGTGTGACTCGATGGTCCCAGAGGGCTTTTCCAGCCTCAGTGATTCTGTGCCATGGAGCTGTTTAAGGAATGGGAGTCCAGACAGATAATCCCCAAATGGACATTGTTTAGAGACCTTCAGGGGTGGGCAGTGAGACAGAAGGTTTCAGCCCCTCAGCTGGAGAACTTGTCCCTCCCTTCACTGCAGACAAAACTTTCCAAACAAACGATGACAAGCTGCTCCCCACCAAACCCCTCCTTTTCTGTCAAAACACAGGAACTGATGAATATTTTTAAATCAGTCTTGGACAGGTATTAATCCATTCTCCATAGCTGTGGGCTGCCTGGATGGGCAGGGACAGCTTGGGGTCTGCTCCTTGCCCTTTGGAAAAGTCCATCTTACAGCACATCAGCATAAAGAAACTCAATTAAACGATGGTGCTCCTGGGCTGTGCATTCAGCAACTTTTTAAATGAGCTGTTAGAGGTTTTCCTGCACTCTGTCCCACCCTGCATGACTTCCCTGATTAATCAGTGAGCCCACACGGAATTCTCAGTGCTGGACTGACACCCCAGGCTAACACTGGCTCTGAGTAAGGAATGACATGGATGCCTTTAAACGCTCCCGGCAGCTGGACAATGATGTGGAAGGCAAACAGAACCTCAATTATTAAAAATATTTACTGAGATAACAGGATCCTCCAGCAGCCAGGTCCTGGAAGTGAAGGAAGCAAAAAGCCCTCCAGCCACCAGTACATTTTCCCTAATTAAGGCTGTTTTTCTGTTGTTGTTCTGGCTGGTACCTCCTCGCTGCTGGGTTTGTGGAACCAGCCTCCTCCTCTGGGCACCAACCTCTTCAACCCCAAACACTCCCTGGTGGGGAAGGGCCACCCAGCAGCTGGGTTGGAGAGGCAGGTGCTGAGGGGCCCCTGAGGATTGCCCTGAGCCAAATACCTGCCAGGAATGTTCAGCTGGGGTTAGACCCAGCACAAGTGTCCCCAGAGGAAGGAGATCCCTTGGATAAGGCACTGCTCAACTTCAGGGCTTCCCTTCCCCACGGGGTCTGTGCCACTCAGGGCTCTAGGCTCATCTCACGTGGGTGGTAAATAAATAACAGTGACCAGAGGATGCTCTTGGGGATCACAAACACTGGAAGGTGCCTCCTGGCCCCAAGGCTAAAAGACTAAGTGTAAATCAGCTGGGGGGGTTCACCTGGAGAAGAGAAAGCTCAGGGGAGACCTCAGAGCCCCTCCCAGTGCCTAAAGGGGC